GAAGATCAATGCATAATTTTTTGATTATGTATTGATTGGTATTGGCGAAGAGGGATGGTTTTTAAGAGAGTGGAAGAGCATAAGAGGCAGTGAGAGTTATAATTAAATGGTAGTCTCCACATAAAAAAGGTTTACAATGGGGAGAAATTGATGGATAACATGTTATAAACATCGATTCAAAGGCAGGATTGATCACAATCCAATTGAGATTAGGTGTGCCAGATTAACTGAGCATTCACCGTAAATTAATAGAGAGTGATTTTGAATAATTAGCACGGTATGTTTAGCTTTAAAAATCTCTATTAATTTCCAGATCAATATCTGTCTCTCTTTTGTTATGTTAGGTTTAGAATTTCCTAACAGTTGATTGTTCTTTTTTATTTAAGATTGTCGTTTGATTAATAATTCACCTTTTGTTCGTGTGCTTGTGTGTTTGAACATCTGTGTTTCAGCTAGTCATGCTAACTACCGCTTCTGGTTAAGTTTTGTTGTTGTTGTATTAATGAGGTTTGGTGAAGCTATGACGCAGAAGCTACGGGTTTAAATACCAGCATATCAGAATTCAGGTAGACGATACGCCAAGCGATAAGTCGACAACATAAATAAAGAATTTTTATATGCAGCTGTTATAATTTAGAATGAAAAAGGAAGAAGCTTTTTTATTAGAAAAAAAGGAATTTATGTAAAGGCGGAGACTTTGAGATATTCAAAATTGGGCGGATATTATTGCAGGGGAGACTGGGGCACCTTCGGCAATCGCGTTTTCTCATGAAGCTCTCATCGTGCATCACTAGTTTCGATACATTGGCATCTAATATCGAAATAAATAACTGACACAAAGTTTGAAATTTCTAGCTAATAAGCTTATTTAGATACATAGGTTTTTGTATTTTTATAGATGTTTCTGCAATATTTCAATTCCATTTCGTAAGTATGTTGTGTATAAAACATTTTAAATTTTTAATACAATATTATTAAAAAGTGGTTAACTACGATGTGTATTATTATAAAAATATTTAAAAATATAAAGTTTTTACAAATCTGATCGAAAAAACTATAAAAAGTACATTCGGGGTACATTCGGCATTTTAAAGTGGGGCACATTCGGCCATATACAGATTGTGCAATATTATTTCCTTAAAATAGTTTTGAGTTTGTCTTTAAAACTAATCCTTTAATATGGCTCGAAATTGCATATATAAGATCAAACGTGCTTGTATTGACGAAAATGCGATAGAAAACCCCTATTTCTGATAGTGTGTGCGACCTTGAGATGTAAACGTCCGCCGCTAGAAAATATAGCCCTAAAATTCAATTATTGTGTGGCGTATTAAAACCAAATAGAGCCTTTAGAGGATCAGAATTTCAACCAGACTGATAGCGATGACAATTACCCGGCTATGACTATGGTGCCGAATGTGCCCCATCAAATGCCGAAGCTACCCCGGGTTGGGGCACATTCGGCGAATTTGACTTTTTTTACAAAACTGTAAAATTTTTTAACTAATACTATTTTTTTTATATCTTTTTGGTACTATTTTTTGTAATTAAGTGTCAGAGGACAATAATCAGCCATAAAGTTGTTATATATGTTGAATAAGTACTGAGATATAGAGCTCTAAAAAAAAGTGCCGAAGGTGCCCCAGTCTCCCCTACTGCCAGTTTTTTATAAAATGAACCCACACTTTTATGAGAAAATGACAAAATTCTATGGCGAATATATTTACTCCTGCAGGATAGAGAACCGAGAAGTTTGTTGTAGTTATATTGTTGTATGTACTCGGATGATAAACGTAAATATTTACCGAGATCTATCTATTCTGATTACAATTACCACACTATAGGGCATGTATTTCGCTTTGATGGGTTTGACTTTTTGCACGAAATTCCGATTATTGTCAAGGACGACGAATGGATTTTCGGATATGATCAGATTGTACTTAAGGTATGAATCTGGTCTATAGGCCACAATAATAAGCCGAATATTTCAACACATCACATGGGGAAGGGAATCTGGCCAACAAATTACAATGACTGTTTTGATCGGTCAAATTATGCGGAGCGCATAAACTGAGAATTACATCTTATGGCGTAAATGTTCACCCGGGAAAAAATATCCCGAAAATATGCCAGGACAAGAAAGAGTAGCTGTTGATCTCTACTCAGTCAAGATGTTACAAATATCGCGAAATATTGCCCAGGCACGGAATATCCGCAGAAAGTCAGTGTTGTGTAGGGTATCACATGGTCAGCCCCTTCCGACTATACTGCTCACTGGTTTAAAATACCAAGAGAATGGATTAATAGAGTCAATATTTCGAATAATGGGGTCAATATTTTACTACAAATTTTAAGGTATGACGGATTTAAACTTAGATTTAATACTTTTCATATGAGTTTTACAAATGTTGACAAATTGTTCAGGAGGTTCAAAAAAAAAAAAATAGATACCACCAAAGGCCTAAAGGCCTTCATAACAATAATATATTTTTCTGGAACCTATTTTTTCCAGATCTTTGACAAAAATTTTCCAATATATATCCACGATTGGGTATAGCCTCCGTATACTGATACTGCCTCATTTTCGGTATTCTTATGTTCCTTAATTTAGTTCAACGCATCTAGAACTAAGGTCATGGACAACGGAAATTTACAAAGTTTGTAGAAATAGCGAATGGACTGGGTTAAACACAAAATTTTTATGGGGAGACCCAAACAAGGGCAAGATAAAACAAATATTACCACTAAACAAATCCAGCAGACTGCGGCGCCCATCTACACAAGATTGGGTGCGAAGGAAGCAACTGATATTGAGCGTGTGAAGAACACAGCAAACCGTTACAACATTTCCTTTGCCACTGTCCAGCCGTTTTAAGCTTCCGAACTCAATTCCTAGGAAATGAAATAACCGTACTAAGGGGATGTGAATGATAAAAACTGAGGGACTTCACTAACAAAACACAAATCCAAAGATGACTTCGATTTCTTCCTTTTCTAGAGCGCACTTACAGGCTTAAGTGTATGTCCTAATATTGGAAATTTTTTGGTGTAAACACCCTTTTTATACACTTCACCACACTGTGGTGCTGGGTATTATGTCCTTGTGCATACGTTTGTAACAGGCAAAAGGAAACGAGATGGATCCATGGTTCTTTTTGAGAATATGCATAGAATCACTTTTTCTGTCGATTTATGCATGTCCGTCCGTCTGTCCATGTTAAATTGTAAACAAAGTATAGGTCGCATTTATGATTCGATTTGAATGAAATTTGGCACATGTCTTTAATTTGGACCCTATTGAAATTGGAGAAAATCGGTTTAATGTGTGTTGAGTTTAGTAAACATCGGTTCAGATTGAGATATAGCTCCCATATACATTATCGTCCGATTTTATGTAAATTCTTCACCAAAGTCCCTATATGTCTTTCGATTTGCAAGAAATTTGACACAGCGTACCTAATTGAGTCTAGAATGATGTCTGCAAAGTTTCGTGAAAATTGGTTCAGATTTAAATATAGCTCCCATATATATTTTCGTCCGATTTAATAGAAATGCTGCACCAAACTCCCAATAATGGTCCCATTGAGACAACATTTTGCACAGAGTATTAGGTGTGGATTAATGTATGCGAAGTTTTTTTTTTCTTAAATAGGTTCAGATTTAGATATAGCTCCCATATATAGCTTCGTCCGATTTTATGTAAATGGTGCCCCATACTGTCATTGTTTGTCCGATTGAGACAAAATATATCACAGCGTGCTGAATTAGTCTCAGTTTAGTATCTGAGAACTTTTGTTGGAATCGGTTCGATTTTATGTAAATGGAGCACCATACTTCCAATATCGATCCGATTGGGACAAAATTTTGCACAAAGTACTGAATTAGGTCTAAATTGATGTATGCGAAGTTTTACTGAAATCGGTTCAGATTCAGATATAGCTCCCATATATAGGTTCGCCCGATTTTTTAAAATGGTGCACCAAACTCCCAATATTAGTCCGATTCAGACAACATTTTGCACAGAGAACTGATTTAGGTCCAGATTGATATGTGTGAAGTTTTGTTGAAATCTGTTAAGATTTAACTCCCATACATAATTTTCCTGGATTTCATAAAAAATATAACGCCAACAATATGCCTGATTGACATGCTATTTTTCATACATTTCAGAATGGTATATTTATGTTTTTTTTTTTGGTTCAAATATCTATGTAGATCACAAATTTTTCGCCCTATTCCATTTCATTTAAAAAATGCAATTTTATAATTAATAATTATTATACTTATATATTATTAATTTTGCAATTTTTTGGAATTGAATTTCTTTCAAAAAATTTTTGAATAATGTTTCTGTCAAATTTAAAAAAAGTGTGAAAAAATAAAACCTCCCTAATTGTTAAAAAAATATTTAGAAATCAAAACAAAACATATATATTTTTTAATTTAGAAAAAATAGTTTGACTTCAGGAAAAAAGTTTTGTAATATAAAAAAATTATTTTTGGTTATGCTGTTGATATTTATAGTTGACCTGGCAAATTGTTAATGTTTTTGATGATGTTTCGGCTAAAGGTCAATGAAAAACTTTTGTTTATGTTTTTATTTAGTTTTTTATTCTTTTTGCTTATTTATTTTATTTCTGAGAAGTATGATTTTTTTTTAAATTTTGTATTCAATGTTTTGCATTTTTTAAAATTCTACACCACCTTTACCACCCACCCTCTTATAACCAAACCTTCCCAGCCCAATTTTATTCCAAAACTTCCCTTATTTTTTATCATTATTATTTTATTTTAATTTTTTATTTAATATTTATTTTATTTATTATTTTATTTGTATAATTATATATATTTATATGAGTGTAAATGATACATAAATATCTATGTATGTACGTATGTAAATGTAAATGCATTTCCAACAATGTAGAATATTTTCAATAATTTCCAAATGCAAAAAAAGAAGACCTCTGCAACTCAAATCTATCAACGCCATCTGTCAACGGCTATACTGAATAGGTTGGAAAATGTTCTTGAGCGACATGATTGGCATTTCCACAATACAAAGCCGGTGGAGTGCTACGTGCGGGACCCGATAGCTCCTTGGAATGTTTTGTTTTGCTGGGCATTGTGGAGACGACATCTTGATTCCAAAATTTCACTCGTCTAAATAGGCGCATATAAGCGATACGATAATTACGATTACTGGCAGCATAGATTATGGGGTTAATTACACTTGAGGCCCAGGCCATTACAGAGGCTACAATATGTAACCAGGGGTATGATGTTTTCCGCTCATCATCGACCACATTGGCCAACATCAAAGGTAAGAAGCAGATGAGGAAACACACAAATATGGTCATCATCATCAGTGTCAAACGGCTGTCTTCACGATCTTTGCGAGAATCCTGCGGTAGATTTTCATTATTCGTCGTGTTGATCACCATCTGTCGATGATAATTCATTTTTCGCTTTTGTTGTAACACTTTTATGTAAATACAGCTATACGAGGCAATTATCACCAGGCAGGGTAGTAGGAAGCCCAATAGGAAGAGTGGCTTTTTTATCGATCGGCCATTTTTCTTGAGGATGGTACACGAGAAGGTCACCTCATCCAGGCCCATTTCACCCCATATCCCCAAATAGGGTGGCAGCAACAACAAAAACGACACAAACCAAACACAGGCCAATTGCACCACGATCCACTGCCTCTTATACAATCGCGCATAGATGCTATGACAGCCAATCAGGATATAACGATTAATCGTAATGCACACCATACTCAGCAAAGACACCGCCACATTGCCATAGAATATCACTGGAAAGATACGACATAAACTTTCACCCAGTGTCCATTGCTGGGCAAAGAAACGAACCGCCGTCAAAGGCAGACTAAACGAACAGAAAAGTAAATCCGAAATACACAAAGACAAAACAAAAGCTGTGGTAGCATGGCCGCGGATTTTCGGGGAGTTGACCAACGCGAGAATGGTAATCAAATTGCCAGAGACTCCAACAACCGTGAAAAAGCAGGCACAGATTCCGGCAAATAATGTTGCAGCATCGGGATATATTGAAGTTTTTCCATCCATTTGCTCTACGTCTCGATCACTTTCTTTCGTTCTCGCTCTCAATCTTGATCGATCGATTTCTCGTTTTTTAATTAAATAATTGTTTTTAATGGTTCTCGTTACATATCCTATTCTTTTCCCGAAATTTTTTGTATTACTTTGCTATTGTTTAAACAAGTTCTAAATAGAGGAGGAAATAAAGTGAAAATAAATTAGTTGTTGTTGTAATATATAGTTGTTTTTTTAATTTGACATTCTCTATTAGATCACTTTGACAGTTACATATACAGGGAGATTGTTTGACAAGTGATGATTACATTGTTTGTAAATTTTGACATTTCAATTTGTTGTTATGGTTTTTGCAATATCCGCAATGTCAAGTAACCATTAATCAATATAATCATCAGGGATGGGAGTTCAAACTTAAAAGAACAAAAAGTAAATATCTTCCATCTTTATTATTTAAAATACATCAATAAAAAAAGCTAAAAAAGCTCTTGAACAAACAGAGTAGTTATAAAAGCTGTTTTACTTAGACATAAGCTTGAAAAGATCTTCTATGAACAAAAAAGATGTTAAAGCTCATCTATGAGCAAAACAGATGGGTAAGCTCTTCTACGAACAAAAAAAAAAAAAAAAAACAGTAAAAGCTTTTCCGACAATAGACATTTTATTAAGGCTCTTTTACATACACATTAGCTTGAAAAGATGTTCTACGAGCAAAACAGCTGTAAAAGCTCTTTTATGAACAAAACATCTGTTTAAGCTCTTCTTTGAAGAAAAAAAAACATAAAAGCTCTTTCGACAATATTCATATTATTAAAGCTCTTTTACATACACATGACCTTGAAAAGATCCTCTACGAACAAAAAGCTATAAAATCTATGAACAAAACAGTTACTTAAGCTCTTCTACGAAGAAAACAACCATAAAAGCTCTTCCAACAATTTTGAAGGCTATTTTTCTTACACATGAACTTGAAAAGATCTTCTACGAAAAAACAACAGTTAAAACTCTTCTATGAACGAAACAGCTCTTAAAGGTATTCTAGAAAAAAAAAACTATAAAAGCTCTCCCGACAAAGTTATTATATCTTTCGGAGATCTATGGAAGCTATTCTACAAATAAAAAGCAATACATACTCGTCTACCAATAGAAAAACTTTGAAATATATTACCGAATATCTTCTTAATATCGTCAAGCTACAAAAGCAAAAGCTCGTCTACAAATAGATGATCTTAAAGCGTTGCAGATTTTAAATTTGTTTACACATTTAAAAGCTATTGCTGTCCACAGAGAATTTACAAAAATTATTCCACAGATGTTCTATAAGTAAAATCACTTATTAAGCCCTTCTCATAACAGAAGATTTTTGGAAGCTTTTATACTAGTAGGACATCTTAATAAAGTTTTTTTTTTTTTTGTAGAGGATCTATAAAAGCTCTTCCTCTTCATGTAGTACAAATTATGTAGCTCTTTAATTATGTGAACAGTTAAAGAAGCTTTTTTAAGTAAAGAATGCATTAATGAAGCTTTTCTACATAGAAGAAAGCTAAATAAGCCCTTTTACATGCAGAAAAAACAGATCTTACTAAAGTGACTCGTCTGGATATTGAAAAGCTCATTTACAAATGAAATAGCTAGAACATATTCTTATACATTGAAGATCATCAAAAGCTCTCTTACGTATAATAAATATTTTACAATAGAAGTGTTAAAACAACATTTCTGAAGATTGGTAACCCCGAAAATCTATTCTTCGGATGAAATACTACAAAAGCTCTAGAGAAGTTGCTTTCAATATATCAAAAAGTTACATATGCTACAAATACTACAAAAGCTCTAGAGAAGTTGCTTTCAATATATCAAAAAGTTACATATGCTTTGATAGATTTAGATTTACTTAAGTTATTCAACTTATAATAAACCTACAAAAGATCTTCTAGAAAGAGTTCATGTGGAAAAGCTCCCTTCTATAAAGGAAAAGCTTTAAAAGCTTCTTTATATATTAGGGATACAAAGGATTGGAAATCTTTAAAAAAAATTCGCTTCTAAAAATATATTAGATTTAAAAGCTCTTATTTATAAAGAAGAACTTAAAAGCTGTTGTAAAAAAAAGTGATATTGAAAGCTCTTGAGAAACACTTCAAAAAGCTCGTATATGGTATTTTATGCACTGTATAAAACCCCCAAAGAACAGAAGGTTTACAAAAGCTTCTAAACATATAGAAATGGTTACAAAAGCTTTTTAACTTATAGTAAATCTAAGAAATCGTTTCTAGATAGAGATTATGTTTAAAAGCTTTTTTATATAAAGAGGCAAAGCTCTTGTAGACATGACTTTGAAAGCTTTTTGAAGCTTATATTTATTTGTATATTAATGAGCTTCAAAAACATAGCAAAGGATATCAGAATTTCTTCCATCCTAAAAAGACTTTCTGCCTTAAAGATCCACAAAAGCTCTTTTTATATTAATAAGAAAAAGCTCTTGTAAATATAGATGTTTTTGAAAAAATCTCTCTGTAGCTAATATATTTATGAGCTTTCAAAGTGGCATAACCTCTTTTGAACATAGCAAAGGATGTCAGAATGTCTTCCATACGTAAAATACCTTCCATCTTAAGCACCAAAAAAGGTTTTTTATATAAAGAAGAAATTAAAAGCTCTTGTAAATAAAGATGATCTTAAAAAGCTCTTTGAAGCAAATATATATTTATGAGCTACCAAAATGGCATACCCTCTTCATCCATCCTTAGGAGAGCTTCCTTCTTAAAAATCCAGAAATCTGATAGTTCTTTGAACGTCTTTTATAGTCCCGACAGACATTGATGCTTGATGCTACCAATTTATATTGATTTAGCAGAGCTTATCGCCATGCGAAAAACTTCTATCTTTAGAACAACTTCAGAAGGTTTTTCATTCTTAGAAGACCTTTGAAATGTCTTTCATATAAAAAAAATCTCGGAAAAACTATATAAGAAAAAAGATCCGAGAGTTCTTGAAATTTATTTATTTTTTTTAAATTATATTCGCAGTTGAAGGGCAAAAAAAAGGCTTGAAGGTCCATTGGAACTCTTAATATGAGTTAGAGTACCAAGAATACCTAAGAAGGGCCAGAAAGTCCTAAAGACCAGCTGAACTATCAGGGAGTCTGTAAAACAGGAAGCTTCAAGAGTCTCTTTAAACAATTTGGAGGACCAGGAAGTTTCCATATTCAAGCAAAATGGTCAGGGAGTTTCTATAGGTGAGCATCGGTCCAATGCTCTAGGAGTCTTCACATATAAACTGAAGGCCATTTAGTCTCCTTAATTGAGTTGAGTGGCATGTGTGGCCCTATGAGAGAGATGTGGAGCCGACGAAACTCAACAATTGCGCCGTAGGGCTATATTTTACGAAGACGCAAGAAGTCTGTATAGTTAAGCTGCAGTCTCTATAGTTATCTAGAAAGTTTCTATAGACAATTTTGGAAAAGAAGCCCTATAGACAATTTTGGAAAAGAAGCTGGGTTCGGAGATGGGCTGGAGTTCTAGGGAGCCCCTCTGATCAGCTTCTAGTCCACAGAAGACGAACTCGTTTATAGAGATAAACGAGTTCGTTTCAAAAATTATTTAGAGACAAACTATAGCGTCATGGAGTTTCCATCGATAGAGCTGAAGAGCCAAGCATTCTCCGCAAATGTACTGGACGGTGAAGGGAACTCCAAAGACGAGCTGAAGGGTCAAATTAAAGGTCAGCAGATTTCCACAGACGAGCTGAAGGCCAATGGAGGAAGGGTAAGGAAGTCCTAAAAATTATCTTGGAGAGTCTATATGCAAGCTGAAGGTCCATTGGGTCTCTGTTGATGATTTTATAATACTTACAAAAATTATATAGAGAGAAGCTAATGCTTGAAGTGGCATCTTAAGCCAAAATGACAAGCCATGTATTCTCGAAACAAATTTTGAATGGAAAATTTTTATATAGGAACTAAATCAAGTAATCATGTAATGTGTACAGAAGAGTTGAATTACAAGGCCCAGCTATTATATGCCCTGTTTAAAACACTATTTAAAAAATTCACGCTCTGGTAGGTCCTGAAAGTAAATTACGTAAAAAAATGCAACCTCTGCTAATATTATTTTGAAAGTCCAAAAAATTATTTGAAAAATTATCTGAAAAATTATTAAGTAACAAATACAACCTCTGCCTTGGGTTGGTCCTTAAAAAATATTTTGTTTTCAAAAAATATATTTTGAAAATATCCCTAAATATCGTTCTTTTATTTTTCAAAATTCAAAACTCCCATCCTTGTCTCACGATCATATGTACTTAGTTTATTGTTTGCTATTTTGGCACTTCCAAATAACCTTTACCCAATAACCACACATACAAATATTTTATACTAGGTCAGGGACAGTGAAGTTTATTTGGAACCCCACACACGCACACGACTTCTTAACCTGATAGCTAAATGTCAACAAACAATCGAAATCGAAAATAACGAAAAAGTGAGCAAAGAGAATCAAACAAAGAACAAGATCAAAAGAAAACGAAAACTAGAGCAAACATACATCGTGTTAGTCATGTTGTTGTTCTTCCAATGCCATAATTGGAAAACAATTGCACTTGAAGTGACAATTGAAGTGACATTTGTTGGCGTGTGTGTGTGTGTGCCTGCCTCTCCGATCAACATCAACATCAAAGATTAGACAGCATAAATTCCGGGTGTGTATGTTTATTTTTTTTAAGTCAATTTTTTTATTGTCGTTATTACGTGCTCTGTTTCTTTTTTTCTTTGTTTATTATTTAATGCCGGTTGTGTTCGTTCGGATCTTATCGAAATTCCGTGAGTGAGTAAGTGAGCGCGAGTAAACAAATAAATGTTCAAGTGAAACAAATAAATAAATTAACAAATCAATAATTGCAAAATCTCTTCTTCGTATCGTATCGCATTGTTTATGACGTTGCCATTCGTAATTTGTTCGTAAATGTGGGGTTATTTATTGTCGCATTGTTGTGATTTCACAAAATGGCACACTCTC